TTCCTGAGGCTGTTCTCCAAATACCTTGAATGTGTATGTCCAGAGAGTGATCAGTCCATACTGTTAGCCCTTCTTAGGGAAAAGTCAATTGGGAAAACTATGAAGGCACACATGATTTTCATAACAGAAGACAGCTGATATATAACAAGCTAAGTAACACCAAAAGCTCCTTGGAATTTGGCTTCCTCTGGAGGAAATCCTTGATCTCTCCAGGTAGTGACTTTGCCATAGCCAGCTGAGTTCTTGTGATATATTCCTGCAACCCACAGCACTTTTAAGTCAAGGAGTAGGAAAATTGTTATGACTGTTGATCAATGCTGTCAAATTGCTTTCTAGAATATTATAGTGATCTCAATGGCAACATTCTTTTTTAAATTAGTGAATATATAGTTATTCCATAATCATTCTCTCTATGGTTTTTTGAGGCAAGGTTTCTCAATGTGTATTCCTGGCTGTCCTGGAACTAGCTCTGTAGACCAGGCTGGCCTCAAACTCACAAAGATCCACCTGTGTCCTGAGTGCTGGGATTAAAGGCATGTGCCACCATCGCCCAGCTCCATACTGACTTTCTTTTGTATCATTGCTAATCATATTGTTCTGTTAATGTAGACTTTCCTTTTCCTTGGTTGTTGGTCTACTGAGGTGATATTTACTATGAATGTTTTTCCATTGAGCTTCTTTCATGTATTAATGGAGGTGAAAGACAATAATAGGAGTTAATTTTGCCCTTAACCTCACCACCCACCAACAGCTTTGTAACACTCAGGTAGACTCTGGGTTGAGAGTTGGCTTGTATAGGATAGGAATACAGCTCAGTGGTAGAGAACTTGCAAGTGGGAAGCCTTATGGATTCGGTCTCCAGTACCAAAAGCAGAGGAGAGGGGGCAGGACAGATAGAGAGAAGAAAGAACAAACGAAGAGGAGGTTAAGTTCTTAGTTCACATTTCCTACGGGGTTAAGATAGATAGCCAGGGTTTGGGGGGAGGTATGCCGCAGAAGCCATGGTTTTGTTCTGAGTCCTTTTATCTCCAGCCTGGGTGTCAGAACCAGGGACAGCTCCTGATGTCTTTGCAGCCCCTCCCCTGGCTTGGGCTAGGGAGAGAGTGGGGAGATTTGGATGTGGGGTTCTCTAGCCCACATCACTGCTTTGTTTCTGTCTTTATGTTAGAACACCAATAATCCTGATAGTTCCAGTCTTGTGTGCCGGGTCTGACCTTTGCTCTCTTTACTGACATGGCTCCGTCCACCTCTCTTTTATCTCTCCTTTGCCTGGTTAATTTCTGCTCGTTCTCCCATGTGTCTAGGAAACTTACCCTGATTATCCTAGGCTAGATTAGACACAGTTCCTTATAGTTCTTATGAAACACTCATGTGTTTCTGTCATTATACTCAAAGCTTCACTGAAATTACCATCTTTATTGGTTTTGTTTTGTTTTTTAATTGTAGGATTAGCTCAAATCTATCCTTATTTCTTTGTTTGTCAGGAGTACAAAGATCTGGGGAGGCCTGATACTTGGCTTTGACTGGAATACCAAGCCCGGTCGTCCTATTACTGTGTTTGCATTGAGGAACTTGGTCTCTCTCCTTTTCTCATTTTTTTTTTTCTGGAGCTAAGGACCAAACCCAGGGCCTTGCGCTTGCTAGGCAAGCGCTCTACCACTGAGCTAAATCCCCAACCCTGAGACACACTTTCTTATACAAATCACAAACATCTCCCTGCTTATTTCTAAATCAAATTGTATTTTATCATCATTGTTCCTAGTTAGTTATTACTAGTCAATGAATGCTATACGTTGCTACTTATTTCCTTGAATTTTCCCATTTACTTACAATGGTTTCTTTGTTCTCATTCTGTTTGTGTTCTCTCTCTCTCTCTCTCCCCCTTCTCCCTATCTCCTCCCACCTCTTTTTTTGAGGGGTCTTTCTGTGTTGCCCAGACTGGTAGCAAACTCCTGGGCTCAACAGATTCTCCTATCCTCGGCCTCATGAGTGCTGGGATTATGGGCATATCACTGTGCCTGTATTCCACAATGTTTTTAATGTTCAGAAGAGGAAAGCACAGATGAGGATACAGGTTTTTTTCTTTTGTTACCATTCTTTTTGTTTTTGTTTTTGTTTTTGTTTTTGTTTTTCGAGACAGGGTTTCTCTGTGTAGCTTTGCGCCTTTCCTGGAACTCGCTTTGGAGACCAGGCTGGCCTTGAACTCACAGAGATCCGCCTGCCTCTGCCTCCCGAGTGCTGGGATTAAAGGCGTGCGCCGCCCGGCTTTTTTTTTTTTTTTTTTGGTTTTTCGAGTTGTTACCATTCTTATTGTTTCAGTTCTAAAAAGTTCTAAGAGGAAAGGTGATTAGACTGATAGACACAGATGGTAGAGCCCCTTCTGTGTGTTAGCAGTGGACCACATAGATGGTAGAGCCCTTTCTGTGTGTTAGCAGTGGACCACACAGATGGTAGAGCCCTTTCTGTGTGTTAGCAGTGGACCACACAGATGGTAGAGCCCCTTCTGTGTGTTGGCCATGGACCACATAGATGGTAGAGCCTCTTCTTGTGTTAGCAATGGACCACAGTGCAAGGACTGAACTGGAGAGAATGAGCCAATAGATTTCCAGGAATGTATCGAGTTACTGAATGGCCAGCAAGATGGCTCAGTGTGGCAGAGGCAACTGCTGCCAAGCTTGATGACCTGAGTTTGGTAACTGTGACCTATATTGTCCTATGACTTCCATGCACATGCTATGGTGTGCACACACAAAAAACAAAAATGTAACATATTAGAAAAAAAGAGGCCCTGAAAGTAGTTTATCAGCCTGAAAGACAAAACGCTCTCTGAATTTTCCTTTTACCACTTTTGTTAGCTGAGAGTGAAATTCCTAATGATGGAGGCAGTCTGCAGAAGAACTCTGAAAGCTGGGCCAAAGCTTGACTCCCCTGTACACTTTGGAGATCAGTCAGAGTGGTGACCAGTCCTTTTCCTTAAAATTAAGCACAAGGCTGAGTCTTAACCAAAGGGAGCTCGGGCTCTTAGGAAATGCTTCCCACTCACTTAACCCAGGCAAAGGTCTTGCTATTCTCTGAAAGTTTTTTTTTTTTTTATTGCTCTCTTTGGTTCAGCTAAACCCAAATTTGCTGATCATTATAGGCACATATTCACTAGACCCTGAGTGAGGCAGAAATGCACCTGATGTGACCCATCTTTAAGGAACTTACTGTGTGGGAGGCGGATGAGCGACAGTGACAGCGGCTGTTACTATGTTCGCATCCTCCAAGCACTGTTGAAAAGCCTTTCTTATTAATTCCTTTAATCTTCACAACAGCCCAGTGATGTAAATACTGTACCATCACCATTTACACACAAGAGAAACCAAGACACAGAGAGGCGAAATGGTTTGTCTAGTGTTACTCCGCTAGTGCATGGCAGGGCAGGGATTGACACCAAGACAGCCCCAGAGCTTTCTTCTTAACCAGTGGAGAGCAGTAGTTCTCAGTGTGGTCCTCAGAGGGCCACAGCAGTCTTATCTGGAAAGTTATTAAACACACACACACACACACACACACACACACACACACACACACACACGGTTTTTTGAGACAGGGTCTCATTATACAGTTCTGGCTGTCCCAGAACTCACTAAGTAGACCAGGCTCGCCTTGAACTCACAGAAATCCACCTGCCTCTGCCTCCTCAGTGCTGGGATTAAAGGAATGTTCCACCCTGCCTAGTTGAAACATACACTCTTTTATCCAACATAAGGCCCATGACTCATACTCTGATGCAGAGCACGGCACTCAGTGTTTTAACAAGCCCTTCAGGTGATTGTGATGATTCCTGTTTGAAAAACTCTGCTGAAGAGAAGCTAGGCATGCTAAAAATGGGTGTCCTATGTTCATCTTACCGGTAAAGTCTCAGCACGGTCCATCTCCTACGTCCTAGGCCTTTGCATAGTATCTGGTGTAAAGCAGACTTGGAAAATACACAGGAGCTGGGTCTGGGGGCACACAGCTTTTATCCCAGCACTTGGGAGGCAGAGGAAACCGGGTATTGTGATTTGGAGGCCAGCCTGGTCTACATAACAAGTCTCAGGCCAGCCAAGGGTACATAACGAGACCTTGTCTCCAAAAAAAAAAGTGTGTGTGTGTGTGATGTTTGAACTGAGTTTCACTATAATTATCCCGTGAGTGCAGCAGACCAAATGGGAAGGATATGCCCAATGATATTTGAGATTACCAAGGAAGTAGGTGTGATGTTTCTGGTATGGAGAGTACCCACGTACCCACACAAGGTATGGGTGCTATGAGAATGACAGGGAATGATTTTGAGAGTGCTTCAGGAGGCAAGCATGTCAAGACACAGTTAAATAGGGCAAATGGGCAAGGGAGACATTTTTGGCATGAAGATGCATTCATTGAGATAGGACAAGCACGTACGTTTTGTGGGAGGAAGGGAAGGGTTAGGTTTGGACTTAAATGTGAAGTTAGATCCTGCTGGAGCTGTCCAGCAGACAGTAGGGACTATGAAGCGGCTCCGTGGTTAGATATAGATACTTGGGCTTTAAGCGTGGTTGTAGCCGTGAAGGGGAGAGGGGGAAGAGGAGACTAAAACTCAGGTTGGAACTACAGTGAACAAAACAACAGGAGTTATTAAAGAAAGCTGTACAGGACAGGCATGTGGAGATTTAAGAAAATGAAGGCGCCAAGTAAAGTCTTAAAAAAATAAAAGATGCATAGTGTCATATGCTGCAGAGAAATAATGGAAAATTAGCCTTTGGGTTTTGACGCAAAACGTCATTTAAGTGATTTGGTAAGAGGAAAATGCTGCAGATGAGAAAGTGGAGGCAGGTGCTTCCCGGGTCCTGCAGATAGAGAGCTCTGTTTCTACACGAGTTGAAACTGTGACATCTTCCAGAGTAGGCAAGGTCTCTAGCACTTCTATGGTCTCAGCGCCCGGCACACGGCCTGGAAGAGAGGGTGGTTGTCAGTGAGATCAGCGACAAGGGACGCAGAAATACTGACTTCGCAGAGGCAGTCAAGACTTAGAGGATGAGGGCGATTGGGAGAGGTGGGAGGCAGGGCCCCTTTGGTGATGGGGAGTTGGAGGGGAAGAGGGCCGGGGAATAAGGTGGGAACCAGGCTCTGTGCCGCCGAGGGCGGGGGCTGCGGGTAGGTTCCCAGGGACCTGTTTAGGGAAAAGACAGGGCCCCAGGCTGCAGCCGGGGAAGGGGTGTCGCCCGGCCCCGCCCCACTTACGCCACTGCGCGGTTCCGCCACCGGAGCCCTCCCGCCAGGCTGCACGGCCTCGGGTGGCCGCCAGGGGCCGCTGCGTGGGCCCCGCGCCCCCGCCCCTCTCCATTGGCCTTTGTTGCCGTCGAGCGCCCCGCTTGACTCGTTCCCGTCCGCCCCCTGGGCCCATCGGTCGCGCCTGCGCACTGGCAGCTACTCGGCGCTCGCGGGGGGAGCTGCTGCAGGCTCCGCGGCGGCGGCAACGGAGGCTGCGGGGGCGACGGCGCGAGCGGCCGGGCTTCGGGGGGGAGCCGAGCCCGGCCCGGGAGCCCGAGCAGTGCAAGTGCGAGGCACCTAGGCCCCTCACGCTGGACTCCTCAGTCTCCCGGCCGCCTGTCCTCCACACGGGTATATGGGATGGAAGCGGGACCCTCGGGAGCAGGTAAGGGCCCTCGGGAGCGGGGAGCGGTGTGTGTTCCAAAGCCCTGGGGGCTCCCGCGGGGAAAAAGCATGGTTCCAGAGTGAGGAGAGGGGCGCTCAGGGGGCGAGGGGGGCCCCATTTTGAAGGGGGCTGTGTGCAGTTCCGGCGGAGAGCCATGTGAAGATCGGAGACCCGGGCTGTTTGTCCTAGGAAGCAGTGTGCAGTCCCGAGGGTGGGAAGTAATCTGGGAGAAGGGCCTGAATGCACCCGAGTCCTTCCGTGAGGTCTGGGGAGGCCTATGGGGAGGCCCGGCAGGTGGCAGGGGGGCGGGCTCCAGGTGTCCAGGAGAAGAGGGGGGCGACACAGATGGGCCTGGAGCTACCGCCTGCCAGGGGCGGGGGCTCGGCCGTGTGGGGCCGGGCTAAGCTAATGTCTCTAGGGAGAAGGCGCCAGAGCTGGGCTCCGTGCTCCGCCCTGCCTGGGCCTGAAGCGGGGGTGAGGGTCAGGGGGGCAGTGGGTGGGGATCTAAGCCCCGGGATTTCCCCCTTAGGCTGGGCACTTGAGTGGTGGCGCGGGAGCATGCGCGGAGGTACCAGCCTAAAGGGCTGCCCTATGTGGTGGGGGCGTGGCTGTTTGAATACCCCTACCCCTCCTCTGCCCTGTTTGGCTTGGGAAAAGGAGCGCACTGATGTGTGCATTCTCTTAGATTCTGTTGGCAGAGTGCAAATGGAAATTGCCTGCATCTCCGTCTTGGGGTCTCTGACACTTGGTCCTTAAGCCCCGCAGTAGCGGTTTGCCAAAGAATGGGCTGAGGTAAACTGCCAGAGTGCCTTTTTCTGCCACACGAGCAAAGACTGGGACCGAAGCCATGCTTTGGGAGCTGGTTCTCCCTGAAGATAGGCCTTAGAAAAGTGTTGGTCACTGAGCGACCAGGCCCACATGGCTTTCAAGTTTTTAGACCACTACTGAGGAGAAATGGAGCTTTTAATCCAAGGAGAGCGTCCTTTTCCTTGAACTGGCTCTTTATGTTACAGTGTAATCTCTCTATATTCTTGTGACGCCTGTTTCGCGGTGGATCTTTTTCCATATCAGGGGCATGCCATTAGACCCAAGGTTACCAAGCTAGTCTGTCTAATAGAAACGAGTTGTTGGGGGTGGGGCTTGATTACAGCGTTGACCGTGATAGTAGCCCTAACTTATTTTCTCCTATTTATAGTCAGGAGAAAAGTAGATAAGAATAGAGGAGAAACTGAGGCAGGGCTGCCCAGAGAAGACTGTGGACTTACGATACCTTTGGTGTTCTAGGTCTCTTACCCTGTAGTACAAAGGACAATCTGGACCCAGAATCCTTTAGGATATCTCTCAGTACCTCCTTCCATCAGGTGTGGAGATGGCCACAGGATTTTCGTGTAGATTACTTTTTAAAGATTGTGGGAAACATCTTTGTTTTTCAGGCCAGTGGTATTGATCTTAAAACTCTGCCAAGTCTCTGATTCAATGATCTGTGATGTGTTGTAGTGACTGTGTTCCTCCAAACACAAACAGCCTTGTAAGGTAGAGTGCAAATTCTAGTTTTCTAGGTTGGAGACCGCTACCAACAACCTGTGGGCTAGAGTAGGGTGGTTAGGCCACCCACGTCCAGACACGCTGATGAAGATTCGTGGACCTAGGTTCCTAATGACTTTATTTTGATGACTGTCTAGTGAGTTTTGGGGAAATGGATTTGTTTGTTACGGGAAAGGAGCTTCTAGGTGAAGAAGGGCTGACGCACGGGAGTCAGCTGTATCACTGGGAAAATGTTAGTGGCATAGAGTTTGCCTCATCAAAAGATGTCATCGAAATTCAGCCTGGGGACTCTGATGGAGACGCCATAACTGCTTCCTTCTGGGACCGGGCAGTAACACTGTTCTCTTGGAAGATGTTGAAATATTGTTCTGAGAAGCTCCAAACTAAGACAGTGTTGCTCATGTCCAGATGTGCCTTCAATGTGCAGGTGTGTTCAGGCATGTGCACTGGCCTGGAAGCGCATTCAGGGTGGAGATACCCTCCGACTTCTCCGTGTTAGCAGCAGTTGCCTGGCGCATGGAGGCCCTGACACAGAGTGCATGTTTATTAACTGACTCGGATCACATTCAAGTGTGAACATATGGTTAAACTCATGTGCATATTCTGTAATTTGTGTCTATGCATGTGGGTGTTTAATGTTTGTGGACAAATACTTTTGGAGAGATTGGTCTCTTAGTCTTTTCTTACTCACCACCGCCTAACTTACCAAGGGTGCATGCCCTTCGAGTAGTCAGTCAGGTTCTTTAGATGGCGTGAGCCTCTCAGTTGTTGGGGAGGAATCCTGAGCCTGGGCCTTGAGGTCTGTTACTTTTCCTTCGCAGTGCTGGTTGGGGATGGGGGAGGGGGAGTGTCATTTTCAGGGCCCCTCCCTTCTTGCTTTTGTCTGCAGGGAAGGGCCCCGCCCCTTTCCCCCTAGGCTGGAGCTTTGTCCTCTGTGCTGGGGCCCTCATCTGCATCACAAAGTGGCCGTCTGTCCCTGTCTGGGTTTGAGGGGAAGTGTCTTCCTTTCTCGGTCTAAAAGCTGGGGGCAGGGCGAGGTGGGGGGGAGTGGAGACTGTACCCGCTGTGGGGCTTTCCAGGGCAGAGAATGGCAGAGGGGTAGTTGTCCTCTCCTTCTGGCTTCCTAGTTTGGGGATGAACTGGAGATGTGTGCCTCTTTTTCCCTGAATCCTGGGGAGGAGAGTGCCCTGAAGCACTGGAGTGCTGTCCGTTTCTGAGGGAGAGAAAGCGCTGAGGGGGAATGTCCTTCCCACTCCCTATCATTTCCGCCCAGCTCCTAGTTCTGGGGGGCTACAGGGGGAGCGATGTCTTTCTCCCAGGATTTGCCTCCCAGTTGAGGAGACACAAAAGGCGAATGGAGCCCCAGAATTGGGGAGGGGAAGGTATCCCCCTAGCAAAGGGGTCAACCGCTTCTCCTGTACAGGTTTAGGATTGTTTGGGACAGTTGTGAGCATGTCTGTGTACTCTGGGGCATGCCTATGGGTGTGTTTGTTCACTTGTTTCATAGGAGGGTACTGAATACCTTGGTGCTTGCGACCGAGTCAGGCACGGCCCCTTCTTTTGAAACACTGAGTAGAGGATGGGGAGGGGTGTGTGTAGAACAGTAGTAGACTTGAAAGGGCAGGTTGTCTGTGATAGGGGTGTTTGTCAGCCCGTGGGCTTGTCTGCAGTATCTGTTCCGTTCTTTCTGGGATAGGTGTGAGTAGTTCAGTTCCCTTGTAGCTGGGTTCTGAAGGCCTTTGGGTTGGACTAGAATTTCCCTCTGCAGAAAGGGGCTGGGGCTGACTTGATGGGTGGCTAGAGGGAGACCAGGCACCTCAGCTTTGGGAAATGTGTACCTCCCACACTTGGTTCTGGCCTCTTCCTGACACCCTTGCTGAATGAAGATGCGCTCCCTGCCCTCCTGCCCCTTTCCAGCCCTGAGTCTTTTCTGTCTGTTAAGGGAGGAGGTTCTGGACCAGTTTATCCCTCTCTCTCTCCTTCCACCTGGGCTGGTCCTCTACTGGCAAGAACAATAGTAGCTGAGGACAAAGGCTTCACTTACACACACACACACACACACACACACACACACACACACACA